AGCAAATAGTGACCGTCAGTTGTCGTGTAATTGCAACGTATAGCAACACACTGAATGTATTCATTCTGATTATCTTTGTCATGGACAACTCATCAAAAGTCGGTTGATTTAATTAGTCTGATCAAGATAATTAGTCTCCGCCTCCGTCACCCTCTCTCTCTATCTTTCGCTAAGAACTAGATTGCGCATACGCAATGTGACCTCAATTCAGCCTTGGGGGTGTTGTGCTCCTAAATTTACTGAATTCCCTGCGCCTGGTTTATGGTTATCATCTTCTTTTGCTCTCCATCTCGTTCTCGTTCTGTCTGCTCAGATCCGAAAATTCTCCTCATCTGTTGTTGGTGTTCTGGCAGGGAGGAGCCAAGTGCCCGGCTAGCTCAGTCGGTAGAGCATGAGACTCTTAATCTCAGGGTCGTGGGTTCGAGCCCCACGTTGGGCGAAGATAACTTTTTTGGTTTTTATTCTTTTCGGTACTTTCTTAGACTTTGTTTTCCAGTTTAAAATAATAAAAGAAAAAGAAAAAATCTCTTCGATCCTGCCAGGAGTCGAACCTGGAATCTTCTGATCCGTAGTCAGACGCGTTATCCATTGCGCCACAGGACCGGTTGACTGCCAGCCGTTTTTAGTTGCTTACAAAGCAACACGCTTGCTGCTTAGAAAATTCTTTAACTATTCAAAAATGTTGCTTTGCTATTCGTTGAGATGAACCGGTTTGAAAGCCACACACGATCTTAAAGATCTTACAGATAGTCAAGTAGAAGATCTATAAAGTAATATACTTATTAAATTTGTGTTTATTTGCTTCAGGAACTTTATTGTTCTGCACCTTTTGCCAAAGCACAGGCCCAAGCACAGAATAATAAAAAGCAAAAATTTATTGGGGTAGACAGGCAAAGTGAGAGAATTGCAAATATTTATCCAGCAATAACAAAAATAAAATACAAACAAAAAATAAGTTCGTAAAATATAACAAAAAGCAAAAAAATAAAAAAGCGAACGGCAACACGTTTTTGCGCTTCACAAAACAAGACACAATGACGATGATTATGATAGAGGCGTGTGTGAGTGGGGGCCATGCGGGGCGTGGCACTGCCATATCCAATGCTCACGTACAGGAGCGGTGTCGGTGGCGGTGGAGGTGGAGAAGGCGGAGGAGGGAGTGGGTCTGGCAGGCGCAAAGCAGACCCAGTCACACCAGCAGCAACAACAACAATTCGGCTGTACAAAGGCGAAATGAAATTTTGCCAAAAAAATAATAAAGAAAAAGAAAATAAAAGAAAACGACGAAATAAAAGTAAAACCAAAATGGCCGACGTCGGCTGCAATTTCGTATATAGAAATTTTCGTCTGGCTCTCAGACAGACAGAGGCCACAGAGAGTGCACCAGAGCGAGAGGGCAGTACGTCTGAGTGAGCTGGGCGCTTAAATGAATTTAGAATGGGAGTCATGAACACTTGCCCGGCCTGGCCCCCCCTTCTTCACCGCCTCCTTGCGACAGACGCCGCTCGTCTGTCCCGCTCTTTGTACGCGAGTGTGTGTGTGTCGCTGAGCCTGTATCTTTTCGCTTTCGCCTGACACAGATACACATTCGCAATCAGAGAACAAAACGTAGACGACACTCGATAGTGGGGCAGAGCGACAGCCACAGCGACGTCTCTAGCCCTGACCCTAATTTTTGGGTAAACAAGAATTTCGGTAAGGGTCTTCTCCCGTCTGGGGGGAGAGTGGATTTGGATTCGGATTCGGATTCAGATTCGGATTCGGATTCGGATCTGATCTAGTCTTGAGGTGACAGCAGAAGCGATACGATCGGTGGAGAGGTGTCAATGCTCTTGCCAAATCCACATCGGTTTTGGAAACTAGCACAATGACCCATAAATATTTTATATTATGCATTTTGCTTTGTCTTTTGATTTCTTAACATCACATGACGCACACGGGCATTTATCTCTTTTCGCTGTTTAGATTTATTCTGAAATAAAGTCTTGCTTCTGCAGTGTTGTTGAACTTTTTTATTTTATTATTATACTTTTGCAGGGTATTATAATTTTAGTCAGAAGTTTGTCACGCAGTGAAGGAGACTTTTCAAACCATAGAAAGTACATACTCTTGATTAGCATCAAGAGACGAGTCGATCTAGCCATGTCCTTCTGTCCGATTATATGCAAATTAGTTTCTCAGCTATTTGAATGAAACTTTTCAGTTTGTAGCAAATGATCGAAATTTTTAGAAAACAAATTATAACTTTTTCAGTTTTCAACAGATTTTCATTATTATTCTAGTATTTTGGAATCATAGAGAAAAAAGCAAAACAGTGAATGTAATGAAAATATGGATTACTTCGTTGTTTTTTAACATAAATATAAGTAATTTATGTTGTATTAATTATTAGAGTTTAAACTGCATTCTTCAAGGGTATAAAATCTTCGGCGTGCCGGAGTTAGCTGCTTTTCTTTTTACTTTTTTTATTGTATTTGTCAGTTTATGATGCCATTTGTCAATGTTGATTTATTGGTTCAAGTTTTACATTCGAGATATTTCGCAGAGTTGAATGAAAAAATGGAAAACTGGTTTTGGGCAGAAATGCAAAGTTGTTAAAAACTAATTGTACACTTTTATGTGTTGCTAATGGAATATTTCCTCAGTAAAAATAACGATACTATATATACATGCTTCGATATATATTGTTTTGTTTTATCATGTTTAATCTGTTTTATAAAAATTATAAATTGTACTTAAAAACACTCATTAATGTGTGTGTCTATAGGCTAGCAGTCATGCAAAGAATTTTTCCATTTATCCAATTTCACCTACTGTAAATAAACAAACATAAAATGCATAAATGAGGGCATTATCTCAAGGTCGTTCCTCATTGAATTCGGTCCGCTCTATCTGTTCACACACCCTCGCACTTGTTTCTGCTCTTAGCTCCCACTTTCGTTTTTATTTTCGCTTTTGTTTGATTTTTTTCTATTTGCTATTATTTTGTTGTTTTTTGCTTTTCTTTTTTTTGGCAAATAACCTTGATAAAAAGTAAACTATTTTTATCAGCGAGAGTGGAATGGGGCCAATGGCAGCGCAATTTCTGTTTGGGGTTAGTGTGCCAATTAACGATTAGATTATACCGACACTCCCTCCGCCCACGACCCACATCGGGGCGAAACAATTTGCGGTCTAGGTATTCTAATTCCTTCGCTTCAGAGGTAAGGTAAACAAATTAGCTATGCAAATGGCAGGCGATGCTGGTCAAGTGTAAAGTGATCTATAAATACCAAACTTACGACTCTCATTTGCGTAGATGGTGTGGCATAATAGTACGCTTTCTTAAGAAATGCGTCATCTCTGTTTTGTCCTGTTAACTTGGCCTAAACGGATGGGAAGTGCACACACAGTGTGTAAGTGCTGTGGCTAAGTGAGCCAAAAGCGGGTCAGAATGCGGGTGTTCCATTGACGTTGGCAGTGTTACGAGGCCCTGACCCTATTAGGAGAACTGCGGGAGACATGAAGTTACTACAGAGAAATATAATACAACACATTTGTCACTTCTATTTAAGTACATTTTTATTTGTGTACTCATTGTTTCATTGTGTTCAGTATAAATCAGGTTTAAATTATTATTTGTTATTAATAATATAAACCGTAAATCCAAATACTGAATTCTTGAAATCGTTCAGTGACTTCATCACCGACTCACTTCTCCCCTACACCAATCGCTGCTATTCGATGTAGACTTCATCAGCGTCATTATCATATACAATATTTCCAGATGGGGAGAGTTAGGAGAAGGAGAAGCCCCAATTCTGGGCACACAAATGATCCAGAAATACAATAAAAATTGCATTTAAAAAGCGGCAATAAATCTAAATCAACAAAGTGACAATCGCAAATACAAAACAAAACAAGTTCCAAGCGTGCACATGCAAACGCGTATATAATATAGTATAATATATAGCAATTTATGAGCCAGACGGGCAAATGACCCACAAAGTAGCCGCAAAAAGAGAAGAAAACAATCAAATATAAATCAACAGAAACGGTACACTCGAACAAATGTACAGAATATGGCGAACATCGAAGTGTGCAAACAAATGCAGACAGCGGAAATAGCAGAGGGGCGGAAAATCAGGGAAGGGGATGGGACAGGCGACTAGAACCCAGTCCCGCTAACGTGGTTCCACTGTGGCCGCGCATTTAACCTTGAGCCTTCAACTGATTACAAAATTGCAACGATAACTGCCACTGACCCCATGGCAAAGAAAATAAAAAACGAGAGTGGGGAGAGCGGGAAAGTGGCAGGAGAACGACGAAGAAAGCAATCGCTAAATTCTGCCTTGATAAGTCATCGTCTTTGCAGTCCCAGTTGGAGCGAATCGGGGCACATTTTGTCTTTATTTCCCTTACTTTTCGCCACATGGTCAGGGGAGGTTTCTCCGGCTAAGCAAATAGAAACGATTTGGCTTTTGGGTGAAAGCACTTATCGGAAATTGAATTCGAAACAGAAATGAATTAAAATAAATCAACTGATGTGGCTAGTTAACGTTTCCGCTTAAAATATAGGGATCATGAAATATTTTAGATAAACTACATTAAGATTCGAAAATGATTTATACGCTTAGAATAAAAAATAACGTTACTCAACTGAAGACCCAATAACAACAAGATGAGTTACGCCATATGAACTTTTGATTTTTCGATTTTTTTGTACGGACTCCTAAGCTGCTTGCAGGCTCCCATCAAATGTTGTTTAAAAACCAGAGGAAAACTATCTGCTTACGCATTAACTTGATCAGTGTACATACGTATTTTTTAAGGAACAGTTCGATTTTCGTTGCAATGGCAAATCAAATGTGTTGTCGTTATGTGTCTTATTATTAAAAAGTCCTTGGCTTAGATTGATCATGAAGTGACACAGCTAACAGTACAATTCCCTTTTCAATAGGATATCAAAACCCCAATGGGTCGAAAATAAATATATTTATAAATCATACATAACGCGTTGATTAATACTAAATAGATATACCGTTTTATTTCTGTGTCCTTTTAGTAAACATGGCTTGAATTTTTAAAGATGGTAAAATCTTTTTATTAACCAAATTTGATTTATTTTTGTATGGAGTTTTTCGGATTTGATTGTAACAACGTTTTTTGAAATGCATTCAACTGAAAAGTAAACTAGATCATGCCTGGAATGAGAGCAACGTTGTCACAGATCACCGCTTGGGTAGGCTAACAACAACTTACCCTGCAACTTGGCCAACTGCTCGGTGGTCATAACGATGGGCAGCAACTCCTCGGAACTGTTGGGAGCTGTCAAGCTAGGATCGGCGATCGGGCCCATATAGCATTTGCGCATCTTCAGGTACTGCATCCAGATATTCCGACCGTTCTCGGGGTGTCCGCATCGTAGAAATCATCTCCGCCGGTATTACGGAGCTTGTCGTTGCCGCCCTTCTGGCCCTCGCTCACAAAGACCTGACGTGTGAGGTGGAAGTGGCTATTGTTGATATAGATGTTGGACGGAGCTGGCTGACTTTTCTGCACAAAAAATATTATATCAAATCCAAGTCAAAGATCTTTTTAGGCTTAAAATGCTGTATTGGGTTAGATTTAAAGTTAACGATCAATTTAAAGCAATTTATGGTGTCTACCGATCTATCGATCTATTTATAAGCTGATCATGATCTTGTCGCTGAACTGTCACGTCGTATGGACAATTGAAGGATTCGAATTCAAATAAAATAAATATCAATCTGATCCTAATCTTGTGACATGTTTTATGTTTGCACAAACCTGTTCCTGCATCACGGTGCGCATAAAGTTCTCGCTGAGAAAGTGGATATTGGAGTCGCGCAGCTCTTTGATCGTCTGCTCCAGATTGAGGTTCTTTTCGCGCCAGGATTGCACCTGTGCCTCCAGCTGGCGTTTGTCCTCCTCGTACAGCATCAGGGTCTGCTCCCACTCGCAGCTCATCTCGCGGACGTCACAGCAGCTCTGCTGGGGGATCAGCCGCTGGCCCAGGTAGAGCTCCAGGAGTTGGGTCAGCTTAGACAGGGCGTAGATGCCGGCAAAGATCCACAGGAAGTGCAGATACAAGTCGAAGGTGCGGTTGCAGCTACCATTTTCGTGCTCCCTGTTGTATCCCAGCAGCTCGATCTTCGAGGTGCTGTCCCAGAGCATTCCTGCCAGGGTTAGGTTATTCATGATTAAAATTCTCGTGTTGTTTTATTCGAGTTTGCTTGTGAGAGTGACGGTGTGATCACGTTTGAATTTGAACGAGAGGCAGGTATTCCATGAAAGTGCTTTCGCAGCCTGTTTAGATTAAGCCACTTACGCAAGTTTTTAATCCGTCTTTCGATGAGGCCCATCAGCTGGATACACATCCAGGTGAACAGGGAGAGAAAAGTGGCCAGGGCTCCGTCTATCAGCTGGTCAGCGGTAGTCTCCTCCATGTTGGGCTAAAAACAGGGACTGAAAAAGTCTACAAATTTTGAAGCATTTTCTATATTGGTTAGCTTGGAAGGTATTTGGATTGTGGCAAAGCCTACTAAGTCTTTGACATATCTGCTCGAACTGTTTATATTTCCCCAGATACCTATTTCCACCTTCTAAAACTATATTTAGAAAGTAAATTTAATAGGTTTTTGGTTTTGTGTAATGTATTTTTTTTTTATGTCTAAACCACATCCAATTTTAATCCACTCACAAATTGAATTCACGTTGCCTCAAATCTCATTCAGATTGGTTGTCAGACATATCACGCTATTAGGGCCCTCCTCCCCAATTTCGTTATTTATTCGAGATAATTTCATTAAGTGGCCTGTCTATGTCTATGAAATTATACTTTATTTAGTTAGTAATTGTATTTTAATCAGCTTGTGGATTTTAGAAGGGAGTCTACACTTTCATAAAGGGTATACGCATTGATTGATCGTTTTTATCGCGATAAGAAAAGCTGTCGTGTAAATCTATTGTATTTTTAGTACACTTACTACAAACCGAACAAGGTAAATTTTATAGTGTCATTAATACTTTAGTATTATAATAGTTATTACCAAAGATAATACTGTATGTCGTTTGCATTCATGAGAACAGCGCGTTCTCGCTCTCTAATTCTCTTTTTATCCTTTCATTATTCGAGAGAACTTGACTAAACCTTATGGCGTTACGCATCTTGTTCGTTATATGGTTTATAATACTATAATACCAAAAATATAATTGTGTGTCGTACCTAAGAGTGACTGAGTAAAAAACCGAGCTCATTGTCTCTTTTAAATTAAATTTCAACAAACCATAAAGGCGTTACGCATCTTTATAATTACATATGTTTGGTACTACAGTTCATTAGATATACGCTTTCCAAGAATTAGCAAGGGTAGCACCCTCAGTGGTCTTGAAATAAGCAGACTCTTCTGTTTCGTTTGTTATAATAATTTTCGGTAGCCAGATATCGGAAGGGGCGAGGGTCAGTGGCTGTTGTGTCGGCTCTGGGGGCTTTCCCACTGCGTTGACTTAATTAGGTAAAACTCGGCGTTTAGCGAGCAACCGAAGTGAGTAAGAGCCGCAGCAAACTGCGTCGCGGCTCGTTCAATGAACTTGGCGGTAGGCGTGTGTTCATATTATTCATATGTGAATATATCCACGAGTGTGTGCATGCATTTAAGAGTGCAAAGGCAACATCTGCGCCGCCTAATTTCGCGGCTGGTGACAGTTCCCTGGAATTGCAGAAATCGCTGCCATTTTATAGCATGGAGTCATGCAAAAAATGCTTTAAATCCGAGCGATAAATAATAATGAATCTAATTCGAAAAGAGAGACCCAAGTTCAGGGCAAAGCTAACTGAAAATACGCAAAACAAAAACAGTGAGAGAATTCTGCACTAATTAATTGTTTGACATGCATACACAAGAGCTGGGACAGCAACGCAGCAGACTTCACACTTGATTAAATATGTGCAATTTAAAAATAATTTACACGCGTTGCCTGCACGACTACATAGTTCGGCGGGGGGAGGGGGATGGGTGTTTGTGTTCTTGGTCGGGGCTGTGGCAAGTGCGTTGCTATTTCTGTAACTAAAAGCTTTCATCGGTCAGCGTCAGCGTCAGTGGCAACAAAAAAAAATAAACATAAAAATAAAATCAGAAGCGCGTGTTGCACTTACACCACTTACACGCCCCTCACTTACAGCCAGAAGGACCGGGAAAGTGTAAGCAACAAGTGTTCGGTCCCCGCCCTCTGCTAGCCGATGAGTTTCTACGCTTTCCGTATTGCGTTTCCATTTAACTGGGCAGGAAATCGTTATCGATAACTGGCGCGACAAGGCCACGCCTCCACCAGGCGCTGCTTAGTATGCAATCGATGGGACCGCCGCCTGTCAGTTGGCATTACGCTCGGCATTTATGCCAAACGCCCCGGAGGATGCCAGACCGGAGAGCACACTTATTTCTGGGTCTGCTAATGCCAGCAATGCCTCAAATTGTCACTCCTAATGAAATAATGTCACGCATGTCAGCATAAATCACAAAATATTATGCTAATCGCATGCAGAACACAGCGAAAAATATTAACTTGCATGCTCTTAATGATTTTATGAATATCTATTAATTTTAGATTGGGTATCAGTATGGATTTTATGGTTTGATATTAGCATTCTTGTTTATGCTCACGGACTCTGAATGACTTCAGTGAATTATTTTAATTAAATGCCAGACAGAACTAAATTTCAATTCACTTGCAGCATTTGTATTTGTCGCTAAACTTTCTGGCAGTCTGACCCCGGACAATCACAGAAACCTCTGTGACAAGAATTACCAAAGGGGGAGGTGTCATGAAATAAATATATATTCGCAACAATGTCAAGTATACCCCCCCCCCCCTACGCCACTGACTGGTGTTTTCGTGGTTTTTTAACATTATACATTTTATTTAACTTTTTATTTTCGTAGACAGCCCGTCAAGTGTCGGTTCGCAATTTTCAAATTCAATTTGCATTTCGCATTCATTTCTATATGCCTTGTGTCAAGTCGCACAAGCAAATAATAAAGATTTTATGCTCTACTCAGAGCTTCCCACTGCCCAGGCTTTGAATAAGTGAAGCCTGAGAAATATCTCATTTCTGTAGAGTTCGACTCCCAATCATTCCTTTATGCCAAAATGCAAATAACTCCAACTCAGACACTTGTTCAGGTTATGGAAATTGCACGCTTGACAAGCGTGAAACTCAGTCAAGGTGTTTCCGCACTTAATGAAAAGCGGGAAAAATATAGTTATAGAAAATCGAGAGAACGAGAGACAAAAGTGTTACATAAATGTGTTAAGCGGTAAGTTGGGTCGAGAATTGTTGCTAATTTGTCGTCAATGAATAGAGTTGATCAATGAAATTCGGGCTGACCTCCAATAGAATTGATAAAGAGAGAAGACTTAATATACATATATAAATTATTATTTTCGTTATATCTATGATAATTAATGGTTTTGCCTTCCTCATTGTTTCTTTGCAGGTGAGTTCACAAAGCATATCAGTTAAAGTGCACATTGTCTTCGCTTTCAGGTAAAAGTAAAAACCAAACTTCTTAATAACATTCTCTGAGTCTCAGCAATAAAAATATTTCCTTAAAATAAAATTACGCTGATAACAAGCTATTTAAATGCAAAAAAAAAACAAGATAAGCAATACGCAGAGACAGAACATAAAATAAATTAAAGTAAACTGAATGCAAGCACAGGAATTGAAGATAATGTAGGCAGTAAAAAGAAAATCCCTCTAAATTTTAGAGTCTAAATGGGTCGGGATAATAAGTAAAAAGTGCATTAAGAACATTTTTTTTTACAGATAACTAATTGAATATACATACCTACATAAGTTCATTATCATCCTTTTTTGTTTAAATCGACACATTGTAAAGTATCTGACTTCTAGTGTTATCCATATTATTTTTAATATATTTTACAAATATGATCAAAATCGGACTTTTATATCATAAAGCTCCCATAGAATCGAGAAATTAATTTATTTAAAAATTATAACATTTTCAGATTTTAGATAAGATTTTCATCAAAATTGAGATATAGCCACTTTATATCAGTCTTAAATGTTGTGCCAAATTTGATGAAAATCGATCGTTAACGATCGTTAGTTGTGAAAATGCAAATCTGTGAATGTAAAACTGCAAATATAATATGTATATGTGAATGAATTGAAAGCAGGTATAACTTCATTGTTTTCTTACATAAATATGTATGTATGGGTTCCTAGTCATCGAAGTTCTATCTGCAAGGATATATACATTTCGGCGTGCTTCGGGAAGCTTCCTTTCTTGTTAGAATATGATTTTATTTATTCATTTAGGGTCGGTTTCTATTAGAAAGGATAGTCACCAGATAATATTATCAATTGATTGTGTACCATCCTAAAGAGTATAGCATAGTGCTGTTAACAGTGCTGTTAATGGTCGATTATTGCTGTATAATTGTGCTGTAGAGCGCACCCTCAGGAATGTGTTGGATCTCAAAACCGCACAAAATGGCTGTAACTTTTGATTTTTTCTGCATTTAGAAATGAGCTTTTATTTTTCTACATTAATACGATAGCGCACGATAAGTCGTATTACTCATTTTATTTGGACAAAATATTTTGACAGGGAGGATAAAACTACTTTCCTTAATTTTAGCAAAGATTCCTGTATATTTTAGTTTTCGACATTTCTTTTTCTACAGAAATATAAGTTATATAAAATATAAATTATATAAAATATAATTTTTACGCAAAGTAGTATATTAATTTTAAAATAAAACTGAATAAAACTTTTCGGGGAATGTTCTTTGTATTGCAGGTAGTGTATAAAATTATCGTATCGAGTATTTGTTTTTTTAATTATAGCTTTGTTGTCTTAAATATATTTTCGTACACTTGTTAATCATATCTGATTTAAGGAATTTAACCAAAAGGTTCTTGGGAAAGACCAGAAGAAAATTTATATTGAAAACTAATTTTTCTCTTTTGCATGTGAGTTTGGGCGATCGGGCCCACTGTGCCTGGGCACGATTGTTTTTCAGCACCCATTTACGGCAATGCCATGCGGCTGGCAATATGTACAGCAAATGCTCTGGCCGGCCAACTCCGGCGGTGCCCTCTACTTCGATCCGCCGACTACTTCCCATTTTACCCATTCAAAGACGCTTATCGGCAAACAACCACCGACGTTTGACTATTTGCCCACAGTCGCGCGGTGTCTTGCGCCTTGTGTTCCTTTTTGCCCACGAGCGGCCTCAGCCCACTTTTGATGTCGTCGTTCGCCCAACAGTCCAACTTCCCAACAGTCCAACTTCCCAACCGCCCGACTGCCCGATTCTCCCTTGTCCTCTTTACGCTATCTAATACTCCGTTTATGCGCGGAATTTCATGAAGACCTTAAATAGAGAAATCTCAAGTCCAAAGTGACCCAGAAATTCCAGAAAATCTCACCGAATCTAAAGCTGTACAATTCCATGAAAAGCACCTGAATTTAATTTTAGTTTGTATTTATTTCTTGAATTGCACCTCCCATAAACGCTGTATATTTGCCTCTTGGCTTTGACTACCTCAACTGCAAGACGTCGCCGCACCACTGAACGGCATTAAACCTGACTTTGCCAACTCTGCTCTGCCTCTTTCTAACCCTGTATCTCTCTGTCCCTGTCTCTGTCTCTTTGTGACACCCGATTCAAAGTCAAATCATACCAAAAGGCAACCCGAACCGAACCGATCCGAAGCGAACTACGTCAAACAAGGCAAACCAGACTAGCAAAAGAAAACCCAACAATTTTTTAATATGTTCGTGCACAGAAAAAAAGGAAAAACAGGAATTTATATATTAATTATAATTCCAAAATGGTTGTTTTTTGTTTTTAAATAGGACAATGTATTGTAATTTAAGGTTGAAGTTTTCATGTTTTGCATGCTAGAAGAAATGCTAGCGTAAACAGTCGAGTTGATCTGGAATAGGAAATCTAGTTTCAATTATTTTGAGAAAAGGTTTCAAATAGCATTCTTTCCTTTGTGAAAACAGTACGAATAATACCTAAGACAAAGACAAGTAGAAAAGTGTGATCGACTGAGAGAAACCCGGTTCCCAATTGTGGATGAATTTAAAAGGATACATATCTAAGCCGAAATTAAAATATATATATATATTTAACAGGAATTAGGGGGGTAGAAAATAATATTTTATATGATTGATATATGAAATTTGGTATTCTAATGATTACTATTAATTTTAATAATAATAATTTACATCAAGGTCTTAATTATGAAAAATTAACTAGACCGTATATCTGTCATAGGAATGATAGTAAAATGAATAAGAACATAATAAGAAAAAATGCAAACCGTTATTATTTTTAAGCCAACATAAACACACTTATAGCATTATCATAACAAAGGCATAGAAACTTTGGTTTACTAAAGCTAGTTTCCCTTCAGGTTTCAATCGAAACTTTCCATCTTTTGTCCCTGTGTACTTGTGGCGGCGTCTCTATGCATCCACAAGGTGCAGGGACAGTGCCGCGGGGGTGCACCCGATGCCGATGCGGTGCAGAGTGTTGTGGAGCAGATTGCTGCGGCCTGTCTATGGACAAGACAACAAAAACAAAAGGAAAAAGAAAAACAAGAGCAAACACACTGGCAACGCCAGCGCGCTGTCGGTCTCTCGTTCAGTGGATTTGTGTGTCTTCGCATAAATTTTGCAGCTTGTACGACAGGCATGTAGACAAGTTTTTCTCCTTTGTTATTGCCTTTTTACTAGCCAGCAGCAGCTATCTCGCTCTCGAGACTCCAAGTGCACACAGACACGCGAGCCGCACACCAGATGGCGGGAGAGCGGTGCACAGATACATAATGTATCTGTGGGCTGCAACAACTGTTGGCTTCGGCTGAAGAGTTGTTATCCCATGGGATAAGTTGAATTAGATTGAACTAGTTCCGACCTAGAGTAAACGAATTCAAATTGCATTTGGAGAAATTTATCCTATCCGATTGTCCAACTGGAATAGGTTCGAGAAATAAGTGATGGGAAGGTAATTAACTTTGTTTATTTTAAGAATTTCATGTTATCATATTCAACAAGAAAGAAAGTTTACTTATCGAAAAGGAAGGTTATATACACTTGCAATTTGCAGGGGAGTCGTTCGATAAGGCCTGCTTTTCCAACAAAAAGAGAATGTATTGGTAAAGTTCCATCTAGATAAGTGAAAACTGAGGCAAACACTCCTAGAAACTAATGGACTAACGGACTTAATGTATGTATAGTCGCCAAGATCTTTGTGTGTACTTGGGATAGGTCTAGTTTCGATCTAGAGTCTCTTTCTTAAATATTTCAACTGTAAAATTTAAAAGTAAACAAGACAGTGACTCATTCTACAAACAGAGCAATTAGCTGTTTTCCTTGTTTCAACACGTATAATTTATTTTGTAGAGTAGGGTATTTAACGTGCTCTGTGGCTCACTGGCATGTTTCCACTATATGTCATCCAACTATTTCTATTTTCTACATTCTGCTTCTTTCATTCGCCGGCGAACTACCCCAACAAACGCCATGCACATGACTCCCCTGCCCTGCCACCCCAGTCCCCACTACCCGCGGCTAGACAAACTCTCTCACGCGCACAGATAAACGACCCACACACACACTCACATACCCCAAAGAAGTCAGATACATGTTGCACTCACACTCTGAACGCCTGCTCCAGTGTACTACTGAACTGAGAATCGTTTGGCAGTCGGCCAAGGGGACAGGGACAGGGACGTGGAAAGGCAGGAGGCAGCAGGATGAAGGAGAGATGGAGACGGAGAGAGCAAAACAGAGGCAGCTGTGTTTGTATTGGTATCCCCCCATCCCCCAAAACGGCACATCAAATAGAGAAACTACAAGAGAGAGAGAGAGAGAGAAATAATGGGCTATAGCCACCCCCTTCCACAGCCTTCCCTCTACTCAGCTGTCACTGTTGATATTTTGTGTTTTCATCTTGAACTTTTGTGGTTCAATGTGTCTAGCCAACCCCAACAGCGAAATTCACCACAGCTCCCACCCCCACCACACCCTCCACCCACATCAAACGCACACCCCTGCACTATTGCCCTTGCCTTTTGCCGGCTTTTCAATGCGTATGCGTAAAGAGAGATAGAGAGAAGGAGAGCAACTCTCTCTGATTCTCCCTCTCTCTGTGTCGGTCCACGCTCTATCTCTTTCGCTCTCTATCGTTCACTCTTTCTCTGCTCAGTGCGGTTCTCTATTGCATTCTACACTTGAACTTGCCCAGCGTCAAACACGGAGCACACATAGGCACACCAAACACACAGACACACACTGCAGTGAGTCAGGTGGCGATGGGCAGAGGAGTGGAGCCAAGGGGGGAGCACAATTATCTGCAGCGGTGTGTGCGTATCTGTATCTGTATCTGTATCTGAGGATCTCGATTCGTGGGGCTGTTACTTTTTAACCACAATGTATTTCAAATGTGCAATCTATACGTTACGTACTTTTCATAGATACGTAAATACGTTGCTTACAATATTTTCTGTTTGCACTATCGATCTTACTGCTGGCGTTCCATCAATTACGCCTCAACAACGCGTTGTTGAAAAATTCTTATTTGATTATGATACCCTTATTGGGGCTTCCTTGGTAGTGAGTAAATTTGGGATTGCACTCCTCAATCTTTCATCTATTACTCATTCAGATATGATATGATTTCATCTTAGGTATTAGTTTAGTACAGAAATCAGTTTTCGTTGCGGCTTACAGTGCAATTTTGGTTGAAAAACTAAAATTTTTATCATAAACACACACTCAAAATAGTAACATTTAGTTTCACAGAATAATAAACCCATTTTTTTTTATTATGAATGGTTATAATATTTAGACATGATAACATATCGATATATTCTGAATATTCTAATAGGAATTTATTTGTAAACATGTTCAATTCATGAACAAAATCATTAAATATTTTTATTTTTAAAATATTATTATATTATTATTATTTTATATTTCGTTTTTTGTTTGTATATAACCTCATTGAGTATGAATTCTGACGATAACCCCTTATAAAAAGCGGAACGAATCATTTGTCCACCTTTCCTACTGTTCAGATATATTTCCCTTTTCATCACTTTCGGCCCACTGTGCTAGCATTTCGAATGTACGTGTGAATTTGCACTTGTGCACCCGAAAGTAGCAACGGCGAGAAATCAACGAAAAAACACAACAAATAAGTGAAGAAAACAGAAAACGGAAAGCGAGGAACGAAGAAAGGGGCAAAGAGGCGAGAGGAAGGCAAAGGAAAGCGATGATGGCACTCGCACGCACACACCGAACATTTGGGCGCTCTCACGCACACAGATACAACCGTGCACAGACACAGATACACAGATGACGTGACGTGTGGAGAGCGGACAAAGAGAATCTCACGATTGCATCGGCATTTTCATTCAAGCCGCTCGCTCAGTGTGCCGCCGCGGCGTATGTGTGCGTGCGTGAGTATGCGCTGTCTGCGCCTCACATTTAACTTTAGCGCTGATTCCGCTTTCAACTTTGACTTGCTCTCTCTCGCTCGCTGGCGTGGTGTGAGAGTGCAGAGCGAGTGTGGTGAGTTCGCTCGCGACGCCGACGACTTGGTAGTGGTGTAAATGCTGCGAGAATTTCACGTTTAATATTTTGCTCGTTTCGCTCGTTTCGTTTAAAGTATTTGTTTGGACTTTGCTGCTAACGGTTGTTCGCTCGCACGCTCGTCGCCCGATCGCGTCCGTTCGCCTCAGTCCCGCATCGGTTGAAAGATACAAAATACAAATCACCAGATACAAGATACAAGATACAAAGTCTACCAGAACGGTTTCCCCCCCCCAAAAAAAACAAAAGAAATATAATGTTTAAAAGCGCGTATATTTATACAAAATCGTTGGAAAAATATCCGAAATAATACCAATCAATGATACCCCAATACAACCCCACACAGAAACAACAAGTGCAATTCGTCGTCAGAAATCGAAATCGAAATAAAGTGCAAAATGCATTGTAGCTGAACCAGAAATAAATAAGAGAAATAAGAGGAAATAGTGCTTTAAATAACTCAAATCGAGAGCGTATATTCATATTTGTACAGATATTATATAGCCGCTGCACAGTGCAAATCGTGGACTTCCCAGTAGTATCTGAGAATCCCAGAAATTTGAATGAAATTCGGTGAAAGCGAGAGAATCGGAGAAGGCACGGCTCGGAATCAAACGTCAACAAAGCGGCGACGTCAGCGGCGCAGCAGCGGCGCAGACATTTGTCTAGCCGCCGTCTGTGGAACGCCCCCGCTACCCGCTGTCCTGGAGCATCCAGAAGCGGTACCCAGCCCGAGGACAGTAACTATTCGCCAGTGCGTGAGTGCGTGAATATACGAGGGATTTGTGCCCGAGATCCCCGCATACAGTTACGGATAAATTAATAGTGACGGTTACACACGGTTAAAGTGAAAGGATATTTTCATACACATAATAAAATATATATATTTATACCTGGGATTTAACCCCCGCTGGAGAGGATTGTGGCCCATGGATACTTGTGGATTAGTAGCAGAACTGGCGCACTATATTGATGCATATGGTGAGTGCGCGGGGCAAAACTCGACTTCCCGATAGCAACATTTTGTGGTCAACTGAGCAACAAGTTCGCGTCTTTGGACATAACATTTTTGTTAAAGGCATTTTCGTAACCATTTCCCTCGACCCTAATGTGTTTTCCTTCTCGTCTTGACTCACTTGTCACCTCGTGTGAGGGAAAACATGTTCATTTCCATTTCACATCCAGCCGAAACGAAAAGAAAACTATGTACATTAACGTGTGCGGCACTTTCAATGCCAAGATACACACAGCATATCCGCTGGTACATAGATTCGGGCGATATACGATGTCCCAGGGAGATACACATGTTCGATTGGTAATACATTCATTATTGTCATGCCAACTGACAGGCACGCAGGCGGGCGGGCCAGGCCAATTAAAGACTGAACGCTGAAAATTGTAAAACTCGCCTGCGTAAAAACATAAATAAATAAATATGCGTGCGGTATCTGTATCTCATGTATATGGATCGGATCCTAGGCAAAGCACTTGACTGCGTAATTGCTTTGGATATCCATAAATTCGCCAGCATATTGAAAGTCAAGTGGGCTTTGATGGCATTCGTATTGGGGCAGCTGATTTACCCTGATTTACACAAACATTCCCTTGATGAGGTTCAATTTGGTGTAAACAATTTCCATTTGTCAAGTGCGTAAAGTATATATATTCGAGAACAAATTTGACGGAATTCAGTCAATTCAAATCAATTTCGGAAGTGGATTGCGATGGTAAAAGAAATATTCAAATTAGGACTATGTTTTGAAACGGGAAGTGAATCCTTTGGGTCTAGCTAGTTTATAATAATCATGTATCCTACATTATTTGTGAATATGCGGTTTACAGGCTTTTAAGGTTTGCTAAAAAGTTGTCACTTTAGTTTGGTATACCAATCCATTGGAACTATGACATATTTAACCTTATAAAGTGAGTCCTTGAATGAGCTTGGGATCCGGTTCTATCGTAGCCTAATTTCAGGCGCCTAATGAGGCATTAGGTAACAGCGCTGCTTGGTTTCTGGCTTCGGCTCAAAAGAAAAGTCCCCACATTAGTTAGACTCTCCCACAATTAATTTGCCCACCCGCCGGCCCTGCCACCCCTTGTCCCCCATTTCCTGGACTGGGGACTGGTTAAGGTTTCGGCTTCTTGGCTCTTTCTCTTCTACCGCCTTTTGCACATTAAATTATTCGTTATTTCTCTTTTGCTACACTTTCTGGACACTAAGCAAACAACACAAAAAAGTTACTTGTTTCCTATGGCGTCGCCATCGTCGCCGTCATCGTCATCGTCTCGTTGCCGCTGTTGTTTGTGTTTTATGGTACATTAAAGTTGGCAAAATGGCAAATTTTAATGCGATTTTATGCAAATATATAGACACATGTACGACCAAACATGTGGCCGAGGGTTTTTGCGACCCAAGCCGGCTACCACGTCGGGCATTCCGAGATCTCTGGCTCGCCTGAGTCGCTGCACTCGCGGTTCGAGGTTCTGGGCTTAATGGGCGACTTTATATCATTATACGACACTCGGATGTTGTTTATGTCGCCTTTCGGTGACTTTTTCCAAGCTATACCACAGCTTATGAATAGTGTGTGCCGAGTTCAGATTTAATATAGGATAGCGAAAAGATTTTGTCATCGTGGGAACTTATCCTGTCCTGGAATCTATACGAAATTGTAACTTAACTCCCAAGCTCACTTTTCGTTAGTTACGTATCTGCGCTGGCCAGGTGTAATGTGCCACCCCGCGCGAGCTGACATCCAACAGGTGAACCAACGCGGGTTCAATGTAACCCCGGCTGCGACTGGGCGCAGACCAGTGGGTCAGGACAGGGCCATCTGCAGCACCACCCCCTGTTCCCCCTGTGAAATGTGCATTGTGCGCGGCTGCATTTCATGGCTGCCTTATCTTGTCAGACGCTCCTAGAAGCGTTTCCTGCCCACCTGCCCCCGGGCTCCCGTTCGACCAAGATGTGTGTTTTAGCAATTAGCAGAAGACTGCCATATATATACATATACATAGTAGTATAGTGAGGCTTGCAACGGGTTTTCCCCCTTGCCACCCGCCTTCACAGACTTTCACATGCCGCAAAAGCAAGAGCAAAAGCAATCGCAAAAAGTGGCCAACAACAAAGTCGAGCGAGCTGTCAACACTTTCGCAAACAACCGCCGATGACGATGACGAAGATTTTCCATGACTTTCCACAATTTTCCTTGTGGATGCTACAATTGTGTGGTTGTTGTTGTTGTTGTTGTTGATTAGCCGAGCAATGCGAAAAGATTCGTAATAGAGACGGGCAAGCCAAGTTCAAGACTCGAACAACTTTTTCTTCAGACGAACTTGGCACTCTGGGACCAGAGGTGTGTTCAACTTATATGGTAATGACCTTTGTCTTGACTGTTTTTAAAAAAGTAATTAAATGCCTGAAAAATTACAATACATTCAGGGTTTTATTGGAAGTAAGTCTATTGTTTTTATATTTTCAATTAGACTAACATTGACATGTAGTTCCACAGTTAAAAATGTTAAAAATATCCTATCAAATTAAGTTCTATTGATATATCTTAGATTTTCATACCTTGAATCTATCAATTCGCAAAGGTGTGCAATACAAAAACCAGATTGAAAACAGATCAAGGTCGTCTAGTATTGTTTTAAGGGGTGTTTTCGCAGACTTTCTTGATCATCGCTTTGGCCAAATGCTCGTCATTGCGTGTTGACTCTAATGTGACTTCTTGGCTGCCGAAAAGGTCAGGCAATCAGTCAGATCCACATATGCAAATAAGATTATCGATTTCAAATGCAAATTGGCGGCGGCAAAGAATGGGAGGAGAGAGAGAGACGCCGCTTAACCGGAAAAGGAAATGATTGAAGCGCATTTTTTGTTGAGCCGGGCCAAGTCAGCCTCAACCAGTTGTCATAGACTTTGGGCCAGCTGTGACGCCTCGCTTGATGTTTCTTCCCCTTGCTTCTAAATATTTATTGATAGCTGCTTGGCGCTCCAAGGCTGCAGCGGTTTAGTATCTTTAGACTAAGAGTTTCCTGTCTTGATCTTAAAAACTACAAGAGCTGTAGCTCTAAGCACTTAGTTTATTTGATTTGTTGAACTTTAGTTTAATACCGGGTATCTCATAGTCGAGCATTCATACTTGTTTTTTGCCTGGCAATAAATTGGGACGCGTGCCCTGTCACACAGTTGCGGTTAAAGTGCTTTGGAAAATCCGAAAATTGACCACCACCAAAAATCTCATAAATCTTTTTCGGCCCATGGCATTAAAAGTTTCTATGCTTTTTATTGCTAATTGATTTTGTGCGCAAAGACTTTGGCCTGATGAACATGTAAATTATTCTTAGGGAACTCTGGGAGATCCGGCATGTGGAATAGATCTGCCTGGGAATTGGAGCAGCTGGAGGGATATTGATGAAACAAAGTTGATGGGGCTTTTATAGAAAATGTAGGTTCCATGTTTCAGTTATTGGGATTATGAACATCTCCATTAGGATTTAGGACCTGTTTCAGACCAAAAGTCGTCATTTTCTTCAGTGATTTACTTGCTCAAGAAGAAATACGAACTCGGCCTGTTTACTTTGGTTTTGTCTTATGCCAAATATTGAAAATGTGTCAATTGAATGGCACCATTTTTCGTGTTTAACCAAATCAGCAAACTCTAAAAGCGAACAGCCACCAACAACATAAAGTCAGCCATAAACCAAACTGAATTCGCGGAAAGTAAAGCGCAACCAGTTTTGGGTTAAATGTTGTTGTGATTGGTAGTATGAGGGGAAACCGTTAACTTGTCAGCGGGTTTGCCCCCATATATATGTATTTGTGTGTATTTATCACATATACACCTGTGTATATGTATATTTTGTGTTGTTTTGGGCACTCTTGAGACGCCGATTTCTGGGCCTTCTTCGTACATTTGTTTACTCTGAAATCAATCTTACAAAAAAGACCAGGATTAAAAGGAGGTCAGATTCAACATCAAAAGACACATGTTAGGAAACTATAGAGTTACGGAACCTTCAAAATGATTTTTACCAGGTTTGATGCTAGAAGTCTATATGAAATTATTGATTATTAAGCACAAGTCTAGACAGATATTGAACTTTGATGTTACAGATTTATTCTATTTAGGTTGTGTCTTGCATATTCTCCTTTCATTATATCTAAAACAAACTGCAAGGCAATATCTGGATGACCCTCATTAGGGAAAGAGTACGTTTTTCTCTTCTGGCCCTTGGCTCGCTTCTCTGCGGCATTTTCCTATTTTTCTTTCTCAGTACATTAGTTGAAGCATTTTAGGGTGGGCACCCGAACCCATTATCATTGGGACTACTCTGCCGCCCAGGGAGGGGTTTATGGGAATGTGTCGCATATGTTCTCTCCTACCGCCTTCGGGTGGACTCCTAGGCAAATGGAAATCACGCGGCGCTTGGCTCTACGTGTAGGAAAATAACAGCAGGAAATTAAAAGGATCCGCTTGCAGGAGTGTGCGTACTCGTTTTCGTGTGGGGGAACAGAGCTCTGATGGGGATTTGTGTGTGTGCTGTGGGCCTATTATGAAACCAACTGGACAAGCCGGCAGCGGATATTTAATTGTTTTCGCTCGACAAGAGGCAGGAGGAACGGCCCACCGATTCCTATGGCGTGTACACCAATTGCTGGCGTTGTCGCTTAGTTAATAAAGCTTATTGCATTTGGAGGATGTCGTTTGGGCCAGAAGGAAGCGAGGAATGGACTGAAGTCCCGACAATCGGTTGTCGCGTGCCAGTCATTGACATACTTTTATACTCCTGAAAACATTCAAGGGTCAACCAGGTATTTGGGGTCAAAAGGGGTTGAGTCTTCAATCAAAGGAATTTCGAAATATTCCTTATTTTGGAAGCCGCAAGTGGGAACTCTCATTAAGCCCTATGTATACTTCAAGAATTTCACTGGGTAACCAACTATTTTAGAATGAAATATGTATAGAATATACTTTAGTTTAGCTTTAAAATATGCCATATTGATCTCTTAATTTTTCCCTTGCAACTTCCAATTACATTGTTTTGGAAATGCATTGCATTGAACGACTGTAGTGTGAAGCTTCTCATGACGTTTATCCAAGTTAATTGAGCGCATATCCAATCTTCAGATCTTATCTCACCCCTTAGAGCAAAATTTCCAGGAGGCCAGCTTAAATAAGTAACTACAGCTTTACCAAGACCATTTGAAAAGAATACAAGTTCTAAAAATAATTCTAAATTCAAAACAAACATAAAAATAATATATAAATGACCATTTGATACTTAACTACCCCCTTAAAGAAAAGTTGCAGCGAGATGGATTAAGAAGTCAATTTTCTTTCTTTTTCTTTCTTTTTCAAGTCACAAGGTTATCTTCTGATTTCATTTACTACATATTCATTCACTTTTCACCAAATACAAAACATTACCTGGTCTGTGTTATATTTTGCTTCGTACAAACAGAAAAAGATGCCTAAATCGACTCGCCTGGTGATGCTATGACTCCTTTCTTGTGTACTGCATGAGTGCCATGAATAAAAAGTGATATTTGCTGAACTTCCAACCTGTTGACTGTTGTAATTTCCATGTTGTGTTCTAAAAATAGAGGTGTGCTAGGTACCTTAGCTCCGCACATCCATCACTCGGGGCGTAACGAATTTTCCAGCTGGAAGAAGAATTTGTTTTTGTTTTCTTCTTGTTTTTCATATTGTTGCTTTTCTGGTTCTTATTCGTAACCCCCTCTAGTACCAAGCAATTTCACGCTGCTGGGCCAAGTCATCTGAGTCTGCGCGCGCTGCCCTCAGCTTTCCGACTCTTTTTCCGCACGCCTCTTCCTACTCCAGTCGGCGAGTGCTATATAGAAGCAGAACAAAAGGCAGGGAAACCGCAGCTAAAAGTAAAATGAGCAAAAAATAAAAAAAAAACGAGGCAACGCAACAGAGAACATCATCAGAGGCACGCAAAGCTATAAAAATGCCTTAAATGTCGTTTATACATATATATCGCGGCGCATCTCGCCCATATACCCCCCGCACACATGTATTTTTATATACTATACGTACTCCGAGTGTATGTATAGTACGAGTATATTCCCGATGCGATAAATACGCTGCTCTTCTGATGTTGTTGTTATTTTTTTCTTTTTTTTTTTTTGAGAAATATATATTTTTGTAGACAACAAAGCGAAAACGCCAAAGAACAACCTGTTTGTATTGTTTTTGTGCTCGACGTCGACAGGTTTTTTCCTTAATGCGGGCCAAAATCTCGGCTCAGCTCGGTACTCTACCCCTTGGACCCCGCACCATCGAAAGCTTAGACTAGTCTTCCCTTTTTATTTTTATTTTCATTTTTTATCTCTTTCTCTTGGCGATTCTTCTCTGCCTGCTTCTTCTTCCTCTTACTCTTGCTCAACACGATCGTGATTCTTTTCGATTTTGTTCTAAGCTCTCGCCCCATCCCGCTCTCTCACACTCACTGAGCGGAGACCTAAAAACCAGTTTTTTGGCGCTTTATAACACACAAAGAGACGAAAAGTTACAGACTTTTGGTTTATTATCGACTCGGCTCGGCTCTTTCCCCCTCATTATTGTTGTGCCGGTCTTTTGGCCAAAAGCGTAGAACGCTCGAGGGGGAGGGAAAGAGACGGCCAAAGGGGCAACCTGCTCGCTCAGCTCGAAACTGTCGATGCCCAGTACACAAAAAAATGATTCACCTGTGTGTCGCCGAATGAGTCAAGCGTGGATTCAATCCCATAGCGAGAGCGCTGCATTGCGAAATCAATCGAAATGTGAATTCTTCTCGCGCCCGAGATTGCGACTAATCCAACAATCCACTGACCTAGACTATGAGTAATCTCGTTTAGATTGTCAGAGCTATTAATTCAGACTGCATTTAGTATGTATAAATACCCGAGAAATTACTTGTTTTATTGATTGACTTTCTCTAATCAAGTGACCGTAGTTACCCACTTTCCACCAAAGGTGCACGGTGTTGAGGTGGTTTCGTTTTGTGTTATATTGTAAATAGTAAAACTATTTAATAGCAGTGAATAATTTGTTAAGCGCAATAGAGAGATCTTTGTAAATGGAAATTGATTTTCTAACCGGAATATTTGAAGAATATATATTAAGCTTAGTCTTCTTACTCGTATTGAACGATAATAGTTTGTACATATATCCCTTAGCGGCTGTCTTTATATCTCAATTATCCTAAGGAATCTCAAACCTACTCCCACTATTGTAAAGCATTTCTTTCTAGATTTGCGAGTTTTGCTAATTTCTCTGCCAGACCTTTGCTTCCACCGATAGTGTAATTGTGTATTGCCCATAAAAATCCAGTTGAAACATGTCAATAAATTGCCTGGATATCCCTGCTCTATAGCGCTTAGTCCATTTGTTTGAGAATCGCAGAGAACGGCTCAATATTTTCCCCCATCTCTACTACTCCATCGATTTCCCCAGCCTGTCTCAGCTTGTTGTATCTACATTGTTTGAGCTACAAAACCGCTTCGGACACTGTGGACGGGGGAGGTAAACAGAAACGAATGCCAAGACATTTAGATAAGTGTGACAAGTGTTCAAACAGAGTTACACACATGAAGAATGCGTGCAAATAGGGAAATAAAATTGATTGGTTGGGTCGAGGAAGTGAAAAATAAAATAGTTGTCGCTATTTGAAATAATGATAGATAAGCCTTAGCCAACAAATATACAACAAATCTAGATTCCGTTGAAATATAAGAACCCATCTCGAAGAGACCATCAATTTTGGCGACATTTAAGTAGTTAAGCAGATTCGCGAGGGCCATAAATCGCTAGTTAGAGTGAGCAAAAAATAGAAACCCCTGATTAAGTGTGGCGAAAAGTGAAGTAATCCATTCTGCTGTCTACTCAACTCATATACATATGACCATAAATTCAGCCGAAGATGGCCTATCAAAGGTTTGCAATCTGTGCAGAAGACTTCCCGCTAAATGAGCCGGAGATTTCGCCGCTCAGATACGCAACATGTGTCGGGCGGGACGGGTTGATCTATTCAAGAATTACGTATTCCTTTCGGCTGGGTCAGTTTACCTCTCGCGGGCTAAGCCGCTCAGCCATAGCTGGGGCTGGGCGTTGTGTTCAAGGTAGAGCGAAAATTTGCAATTAAATGAAATGAAAATTTCATGAGCTTGCCCCCGCCCAGGTGCGTTGAACCGTCTCGTTCTCCAGTGTGACCACAAAATGTTGAAGGAACCCCTCGCTAAACGGGTTTCTCTGGGACATTTTCGCCTCATCTTTATGGGTTGTACCCGCTCTTTATTGCAGCTCTGATTTTTCCGCGTCTTGAATGAACAGGAATTCGGGCGAAAATGTATTTTGAGCGCAAGCAAGTGCGCAAAAAATACTAGAGACACCACACACAAAGAGTCCACGACAGACTGCACCAGTTGAGCAGGAGCTCGGTGCAGACAACAGAGCTCCTTAACGCAGCCTTAAGGAGACTTAACCAGGAGAAGATCCTTCTCCATAGCCAGACCAACTGCCAGGGACAAGCCGCTTGTCCCCAGCCGACGCCAAGTGATTCAGATAACGGCCCCAAAACGGCGACCATCGGCTACCAGAGGATGAAGCGGCGCTGGTCGAACAACGGCGGCTTCATGCGCCTGCCGGAGGAGTCCTCCTCAGAGGTCACCTCCTCCTCGAACGGGCTCGTCCTGCCCTCAGGCGTGAATATGTCGCCCTCGTCGCTAGACTCGCACGACTACTGTGACCAGGACCTGTGGCTCTGCGGCAACGATTCCGGTCCGTATGGCAGCTCCAACGGCAACGGCCTGAACCACCAACAGCAGCAGCAGCAGCAAAGCGTCATAACGCTGGCCATGCAGGGCTGCTCCAGCACCCTGCCCGCCCAGACGACCATCATTCCGGTCAACGGCAATGGCAATGGGAACGGGGCCACCAATGGCTCCAACTCCAATGGCCACTATGTGCCGGGTGCCACCAATCTGGGGGCTTTAACCAACCACGGGCTGCTCAACGGTGGACTCAACGGAATGCAGCAGCAGATGCAGAATGGCCACGGTATCATCAATTCCACCACCCCCTCGACGCCAACCACCCCGCTCCATCTGCAACAGAACGGCGGAGGCGCCGTAGGTCTCTCCGGGATGGGCCTGCTCCATCACTCAAATGGCAACTCGAATGGCCTCATCGGAAGCGGTGGAGTGGGAGTAGGAGGAGTCGGCGGCGGAGTGGGTGCCGGAGGCATGGGCATGGGAATGCAGCACACACCGCGGAGCGATTCGGCCAATTCCATTTCATCAGGTAAGATCTATAGTGCTGATCTTAGGATGAGATCAATCATAGGGATACGTTAATCATTCCAAATTTAATTTTTTTTATTTTTTAATTACTTAAGATTATTTTGTCTTAGGTTTCTGATATTCAAGCAAAGAAAGGAGGTATTTTGCCATTATTGAACAGTGGTAATCATAGTTCTCTATCGCAAATCAGTGAGTTTCAAGTCAGACATTTTGTATGCATTATAACAAAAAATATTTACCATTTTTGTGCATTATCTTACTCACACAAAAACAATTTAAATAGATCAAAGTATTGCCTGATCATCAATCACTGATCTTAGACCATTCAGAAGAAAGATTTTTAAGAAACCCAAAATCTCAAAAATTAAATATATTTAAATAACAAAAAATTTAAGTGTAAATATATTAAAAATAAATTCTTACAAGTAAAAAAAAGACTTAAATATAGTTAGATTATTATTAAGATTAAAAGTTACAAAAGCATTAAAAATCTCACTTTATCTTGACCTACCGTCAAATTTCAAGTTTTCCATCCATTCTTCCCCTCCGAGTGCCACGCCCATGTTCTGTATCTGAAACGCAGAGCTCACCAATTATATTTTATTACACGAGTGCATTTTATGAGGCTCTTTTGATGGTGCGAGTATATGAGTATTTCTGGCGATTCCCCCTATCTTCTTCGCTGCCGATGAGGCGAGCGAGTCTTCGAGCGGGCTCGCCGGGAAGTGCACTCTCCGCACGCACACTGGCACACAGGCAGGGCATTGTTGTCCGGCACTATCAGCGGCCGCTGCGTCACGGAACAGTGCCCGCCATGTGTATGCGTGTGAGTGTGTGTGTGCTGCAGCAGGCCATGTGCAGAAGAAAGGGCTGTTTTTGGTGGCTGTTGCTCCTGCTGCTGCTGCTGCTGCTGCTGCTGCTGCTGCTGATGCAACGAACCTACCTCAAGTCGTTCTATATTTAGGGCCTCCCCGCAGCGAGAAGCCGGATAAGGGAGTACGCGGGGAATGTGGTGGAACTCGGTCCTTCGATTCTTCGGTTCTGTGCTGTTCTTCTTCGCTTCCTCCTGCTGGCGTTGCAACTGCAGCATGGCTGTGGTGACGTCACTCTTCCCTGGTTCGTGCTCGCCTGCGCTCGGTGCCACGGAACTGACCTCGTGCCAAATGGGGAAACCAGGTCAGGTCAGGTTGGGTCAGGAGCAACGGCAGCGGGACAGCATTTGCATCTGACCTAAATTGTGGGAGGACATGTGCGGGGAGTTCAAGGCCAGTATCTGCAATCGATGGATGCATCGTCGGCGTCGTCGTCGTTGGTGTCTGGGTCAAAAGGAGCTCTTTGTCTCCGTCCAGGACAGGGTCTGTTTCTAAGTGGGGCAGGTCAAGGCTAGTCTGGGGTACGCTTTCACATGTGAAATATATGTACATTTGTACATATTATATATAGTTATGTGATGAATGGGAATAAAGCGGTGACATTGCGAAATTTATTTTTTTTCAAAATTATTAGGTTACTATATAAATTTAATCTGTTTCTATTAAAATTATATAATTAAACACTTTGTCTTAAACAGAAAGTATATATCTTATCAGAAACCAGATGATATTATCTTTTCGACATACATTTTGAAACAGTAAAGGTAACTTTTATTTTAAATTCTGTATATTTCTATAGAAAATCTAAAAGTATTTAGAGTAAAAGTAGATTGATAGTAGATAGTAGGTAGAGTAGAAGTAGATTCATAATCACTATTTAGCATGTTTCGATAATATCAATCGATACTTTGGATACTATCGATCGGTGCTATCGTTGTTTAAAAACAGTTATCTTTGTGCACCAACCAGGGACCGACCCCTCTTCTTCCTGAACAACCTTGGCTGTGAACTCGGTCCGCCCAAATATTCAAAAATGGGTCACACACTGCAACTGGGCCAGTTATTTTGAGTCGAAAACAAAAAAATCAAAAAAGCCACAAGGACTGACTGAACTCTCTTTCGTTTGGCCTGTCCCGCTCTTGCAAAGTCAGCTGTCCCGCTCTGGCGCACGTGCTCCTTAACAGCCAAAGCTCAAGCACATGACCTTACTCCCTGGAAAAGAGAGATGTTGGTTGCAGCAGCAACAACTCATGTTCGTGCTCTTTGCACAACTGCTCTGTGCGTCCGTTTTTACTTCGATTCCATTCCGGCGAGCTTATTTGCATTTCTTTTGTCAAACTCTCTGGGGTGGCTTTGGCGATACACATCTTTCTATGACATAATTTGCTCAAAACATGGAATCCCGATTTTCAAGGACGGCAGCCAGCGAAATAAAGATGAAAAGCAGTTATACAATGGCAGAGCGCTTAAACAAAATACTCGTACTTGCGAACGATAAAACCAGAACGATAACGCCAGTTGTCAAGTTTTTCTTATTTATATATTTTTCAGCTTTTTTCAACTTGCACTCGCTCACACCAATGCAATTACCCGCAAGTACATGTCTGTGTGTGAGTGTGTACGTTCGCATGACGAAAAAATTGAGGTCAATGATTTTGTGCCGCCATTTCACAGCGATGTTGCTGTTGTTGTTGATGTTGTTGCTGTTGCTGTTGCTGTCAGCAATCGGCATTCGCGATCAGGCAAACACGAAGCGCTTCGTGTGCCAGCGAAGCGGAGCGCCAAGAATTCAAGCCCCAAGTAATGAGCGTGAAAACTAGCCGCTCTCTCTCTCTCTCCCTATCTCTCCGCCCGCATTGTTCACTCTCTCCCCCATTCGACTGCAGTTGTATTTGCCGCCTACCCCCTCCCTTTGGGATTCCACCCCTCCCCACAGCTCGTTGTTCGATACATTGTGTCTACAATTGTTGTAAACGAGATGTTCGTTGTTGTTGTTGCTGGCTGGCTGGCAGTTTATTTGTTTTGTTTGTTTTGCGATTGCAGTGACATTGATAAGTCCCTCCGACAGTTGCTTGACTTTGACTTTTAGCAGTGTTTGTTTATATTTTCGCAAAAACTGTTATTAAGACGTTGAGATACACATATGTATGTATGTAAATAACATATATACAAACATGTGTATCAATTAATTCCCATCCAATGGTAATTAATGAACTCGAACATCCCCAGATCAAAGTTCTGAAATTCTCTGTAACGAATTTAATGAAAAAGTAACTTATTTTAGCGCACAAAACTCAGGAATCCATATTACATTTTATTCTTGATCTCTGAATATTAGAGGTTAGGTACAAAAAACTGCCGTGATGGTGAAAAACGGACATTAGATTCGTGATCATGGAAGAGGATTTATATATGATACATATATTATAAGTACGCCTACATATCTAAATACAATTAATATCAGCTAATGCAGCACTGATTTTTATTCGATTCTATTTGTGACGTCACCAGAAAGCACTTTGATATTTGCATTCTTTTCGGCTATTTTCGTACCGCCCGATGAGCAATTGGAAACAAGAGCGAGAATGAGGGAATGGAAAGAGGAAGAAGTGCTTTGCAAGTGCAATAAAAGACAACAACTATTAGTTATCTCGCTCTTTCTTTAAGCCCTCTCGCTCACACCGCCACTCTAGGCGAACACGTTTTTATAGGTTAATGACACAACCGGCCTGCAGCTGTGACTAAAAGCAAGTCAACGCAACTAGAAATGCTTTATATACACAAACATATTTACGTACAATACATCTATGTATGTATATGTATATGCGATCCCATCTGCTAGTGTGTTTTGGTGCATAAAATTTAAAATTCGATTAAAGTGAGCCTCAATCACGAACAGCTGCTATTAGTGACTGCTAAAAAAAACTGGGTGCGAGCTATAGAAGAGTTTGGAGAAAGGGAGAGCTTGCTGTAATCAAAAACAACGATAGGAGAAAATTATTTACATTTTCCAACTCACGTACTCAAGCTGATCTGCTCTATAGTAACAACCCTAGGCCCATAAAAATACTATTGGACCTAGTGTTTAATATTTTAAGTGATGTCATGAGATTTGTACTGTGCTTACTTAAAGTTTGAATACGATCAATCTGCAACCTATTCTAACCCTGAAAATTCCTTAATTTTTGAGAAGTTTCATTATTTTATTCTTTATGGAAATATGGATAACTTGGGGTACAGCACTACGGTTATTTCTTCAATCTGATAATAAAAATTTTTAAACTTAAATCTTCGAAAGCTTCCTATTTTCGAAAACTTTCTCCTATTTTAAGGGTACTGTATTCTGATCTTTCCCCACTGTGCGTTTAAAAATATTGTAAATTTATATAGAATAGGCCAAAAACTATGTCAGTAGTGTGTATGCACAAATGTTGTCCAAAACAACAAGCGAAAAAATAAATTGTGAAATATTTGTATATAAAAGACATACACACACCCATCAAGAGTCCGCGTGTTTGTTTCTATTCTTGATTAGGCCCAGAGAAAGAAAAAGTGAAGAGAAAGAGGTAGAGCGAGAGAGAGAAAGAGAAAGAGAGAGAGAGAGCATAAGGAAATAAAAATAACAAACGAAAAGCGCAAAAAGAATAACCAAAAATATTCCAAGAATACTCGGCATTAGGCAATAGCTAATGGTCACGGATCGCATTGCGTTGAGAGAGCTTAGTGAGTAGCATTTTCCCTCAATCTTGGCTTCAATCACCGACCAACTAACACACTTGCAAGCCCTTCGCTCTCTCTCTTTCTCTTTCGTAGTGCAGCATTCTCTCGCAGCAACTTTCTACTTCTCTACACTCTCTAAAAACAAGTTTCAGCCTCACTCCCACAGACACGGGTACAGATTCTGCTTCTTAACTTTCTTCTTCACTTCGAACTCACTTCAAAAGCCAGCAACTTGTTGTCTCACTTTCTTTCTGCCTCGCCTCGCTCTCGCCGTCTCTCTCGCTGGGTGAAAGTTGTTGTTGCAGGCCGCCGAGCCATGATTTTCCACTTTTTCTTTGCTGCATCTCGGCAAAAAAAGAGCCGGCAGCAGCTGGCTGGATGGTATGAAAAACAATTTTGATTTATGCGC